GAAGGGCTTCGCAGTGTCCTGGTGCTGCAGGGCTCCAGTGAGCAGTCCCCAGTGCCCACCCCAGCACCCCCAAAAGTCCTGGTCCTCCGTGGGGAGCCTCGGCAGGGGGGAGTTAGTGAGGGTCCTGCTGTGGTGCAGCTGCTCCCTGGCTCGCCGACCCCCCACCTGCCAGTTGTGCAGGGGGTGCAGGTGCTGCCAGGGGCACAGCTTGTGCATACCTTCTGAGGAGGAACACAGACCCCACAGCCATGCCACCGGCTCCCATGGCCACCCTATGGCCCCCACAGTGACCACATGGCCTCTTCAGCGACACAGTGGCTGCCCCAGGGCCATCCAGAGGCCTCCACGTGGCCCCCACAGCTGCTAGAACCACTATAGCTACCCCATGCTCTCCTCTAAGGATCCTACAGACACCTTAGGGCCATTGCAGCCACCCCATAACATCCCACGGCCCCCTACCGGCCACCTTGTAGCCATTGCAGTCATCTCCTAGCATCTCCTGTCCATCCCACAGCTGCCTCTTGGCCACCTTATGGCCACTGCGGCCATCCCACAATGGCCATCTGTTGGATGCTGTATGATCGCTATAGACATCCCACAGCACATGCTGGGCACCTTATGGCCCCTGCAGACACTCTACAAGACTCCAGAGCCAACTGTTGGCCACCACAAACATCCCACAGCACCACATTACCATCTCATGGCCACCACAGACACCCCATAGCTATTTATGACCACCCCTTACTGGAATCCACAGCCACCTCCTGGACATTTTATGGCCACCCCTGCTACCCTACAGCCCACCAGAGACGATTTCTTGTCCGTCTCATGGCCACCACTCCCATCCCATTCCCACCTTATGGCTACTGCAGCACCCCACGGCCACCCAGTGGCTGTCACACCAATCTCCTAGCACCTCATAGCCATGCCATATCCACCTCTTGGTCACCTTGTGACCACCACAGCACCTCATGGCCAGCACACCCATCCCATAACCACCTCATGGCCACCACAGCACCCTACAGGACTCCACTGCCACTTATAGGCCACCCCCTTAGTCGCTTCATGGCCACAACAGCGTGGGGGCGAGCAGCACTGCAGGCCGGTGAGCAATGGGGTGCGGGAGCCGGGGGGGCGGAACAGATGTAGCACGGTTTCCGCCCGAGCCGGATTAATAAACGGAGCGTCCCGGCTCGCACTTCCTCCTTCCGACGCGGATGGAATGGGCCAACCCCATTGGCCGCCGCGGGGGGCGGGGCCTCGGCAGGGGCGGAAGCAGCGGGAGGCGCTTGCGCAGTAGGTGGTGGGCGGGTTGGGAGGGGGGAGGGAGCGGGGCGGGTCGCGGCTGCTCATCGGGAGGGGGAACGGGAGCGCCTGGTGTCGGCTGTACAACCCCGCTGGGTCCAGTATGCCCCCAGTACAACCCGGTGCAGCCCAGTACGGTACGTGTGACCCTCAGCGTGTTCTCAGCGTTACCGCTATACCCCAGTGTGGCCCCAGCACATCCCAGTATGGTCCCAGTATAGCCCCGTATGACCCCGCTGTCCCTCAGAACGCCCCCATTAAACACCAGTATAGCCCCTAGTGCCCCCCAGTGTGCCCCCCATGTCTTCCAGTATGCCTGCAGCATGCCCCCAGTATGGCCTTTGGGCCTCCTCCGGTATGTTCCCAGTAAAAATCAATATAATCCCAGCATGCCCCAGAGTGCCCGCAGTATACCTCGTGTTCCCTGGTGTGGCCCAGTGTCCCCGTGTGTTTCCTCAGTGTGGTACCGGCATACCCCAGTATGGCCGCTGTATATCCCATTATAGTCCCAGAATGCCCCCAGTCTGATCCCATTGTTCTTCGCAGTGCCCCCAGTATGGCCCCCAGTATACCCCAGTAGGGGGTATACCCTCAGTGTCCCCTAGTATGGCTCCTGAATACCCCAGTGTGGTCCCAGTATATCCCCACTGTTCTCCAGAATGCCCCCAGTCTGATCTCACAGTCCCCCAAAATGCTTCCAGTTTCCCCCATTATGGCCCCCAGTAGACCTCAGTGTCCCCTAGAATGCTCCCCACGTCTCCCAGTATGCTCCAACTGTCCCCAATACACCTCCCAGTGTCTCCCAGTATGCTCCCAGTGTCCCCCTTCCCCCAGCACACAGTGGCTGCCCATGCGTGTGTGTGTGTGTGTGTGTGCTCACAGACCTGCAGTGTCTTCCATGCACGTGTGCAGCCGCTCACACGCGGCCCTGACTCCTTGGCCACGTGCGGCTCTGTTTCCCCCCCTACCCCCCCGCAGTGCCACGTGGGTGCGTGGGTGCCTGCATGTGTTAACCCAACCCTCCCCTCCCCCCCAGCATTAACCCTCATCCTCCGAGGACTCCCCTCTGTGCCTTGGTTAATGGGGGCAGTGCCCAGGAGACCCCACAGCAGGACCCCACACACAGACCAGATGTCCCACCGCAGAGGTATCCCGTGCCCCCCATCTCCAGCCCTCTCCATGCTAGCCAAGGGGGGGAGCAAGCGGCTGCACTGAGTCATCCCTGGCCTCGCCGCCTCCATCCGGGCCTCCTCCATCCTGCACCAGCACACGCCATGGCCCCGACCCTGCTGCTGCTGGGTGAGCACCCGGCTCTGCGCTGCACATGCTGCATGGCACTGCATGGCACTGCATGGCACTGCATGGAGATGGCATGGCTACGGCATGGGTATATCCTGCATACGGTGTGGGAACTGCAAGGGGAGCTGAGTGCTGTGCTGGGCACTGCATGGGCACTACGTGGGCATTGCTCTCAGCACTGCAAGGCACTGTGCTGGGCACTGCATGAGAACTGCGCTCAGCACTGCATGGACACTGCATTTGGCACTGCATGGGCACTCTGTGGGCCCTACATGGCACTGTGCTGGACAATATTTGAGCACTGCATGGGCACTGCACTGTACGGGTGCTGCACTGTGCATTTCATGGGCACTGTTCTGAGCACTGCTTTGGGCACTGTGACACCGCGTGGGTACTGCATGGGCACTGCATTAGACATTGCATGGGCATTCCATTAGCTCTGCATGGGTGCTTCTCTGAGCACTGTGTAGGCACTGCACTGAGCATTGCATGATTACTGCATGGGCACTGCAATTGGAACTGCAGAGGTGTGCACTGGGCAGAGCGTGGGCACTGCTTTGAGCATTACATGGGCACGGCTCTGTGTGTTTTGTGGGCACTGCACCGGGCATTGCATGGGGCTGCCCTCTACGGCAGACACCACATGGACACTGCAGGCAAGCTGGACACTGCACTGGACACTGCACAGGCACTGAGCATGGTGTGGGCATTGTAAGGGTCTGGGCACTGCGACAGGCACTGCAAAGGGGAGGACACTGCCTTGGGCAATGCAATGAGGCTGTGCACTGCAGGATTACTGCAAGGACACTGCACACGCAGCAGGGAAATTGTGCTGTGTTGGGCACTGCAGGGGTGCTGCAAAGTTTCTGGGCACGTCAGGGGTCTGGGCTCTGCATGGGGCACCGGGCAGTGCATGGGGTATTGTGGTAGTGCTGCAGTGGATATCAGGCAGTGCAGTGGGCGCTGCAGCAGAGTGGGCACTGCAAGCTGTGCTGGGTGCTAGACACTGGGCTGGGGGTAGTGGGAAGGCTGTGGGTGCACTGGGCAGGGCACTGGGTATTCTGTGGTGTGCTGGGCACTGGAAAGGAAACTGAACACTGGGAAGGGAAATGGGCACTGGGCGTGGGGCAGTGCTTATGGGGCAGATAGCAGTGGTCTGTGATTGCTGAACACTGGAAGGGGACTGGGCATTGAGAACTGGTCATGAGGAACTGAGAATGGGAGTGGGAATTGGGTGCTGAAAAATGCTTACTAGGAACTAGTCAAGGGTCACTGAGCAGTGGGAATGGGACGGTGGGACACTGGGAATGGCACTGGGAATGACGTTGGGATTGGGATGCTGGGAATGGCACTGAGCAAGGAACTGGTCATGGGGCACTGAGAATGGCGCTGGGATTGGGACACTGGGTGTGGCAGCGGGCATGAAGCACTGGGAATGACGCTGGGACTGGGACACTGGGAAGGGAACTGGTTATGGGGCAGTGGGAATGGAACACTGGTCATGGAGCACAGGTCATGAAGCGCTGGGAACGGATCTGGTCTTGGGGAAATGGGAATGGCACTGAGATCAGGACACTGGGAATGGCACTGGGAATGGCACTGGTCATGGGACAGTGGTTGTGGAGCATTGGGAATGGAATTGGTCATGTGGCACTGGGAATGGGACACTGGGAATGGAACTGGTTATGGGGCACTGGGAATGGGACCGTGGGAATGGGACTGGTTATGGGGCACTGGGAATGGCGCTGGGAATGGGACAGTGGGAATGGAACTGGGAATGGCACTGAGAGTGGAACTGGTCGTGGGGCACTGGGAATGGAATTGGTCATGAGGTGTGTGGAATGGCGTTGGGAATGGAACTAGTCCTGGCCACTGGGAATGGCACTGGGATGACGGTGGTCATGGGTCACTGGAATGGGGCACTGGTTGCTGGACTCCGGGTGCTGAGTCCTGCACCCCGGGTAGGACCCCTGGCTCCAAGCTCCTTGTGGCTCCATGGCTCCATCCTGGGGGTCTTGGAGGGGCTTGGGCAGGTGCAGCATCCCCTCACTTCCTCTCTCGTCTCCAGTGGGGCTTCTGGCCTTCCCTGGCACAGGTACTGGCACGGGGCTGGGTTGAGGGTCCCTGCCCCACAGCATTCCTATCACTGCCACTGCATCCAATGGGTTCTAGTAGGTCCCAGTAGGCTCCGATGGGTTCCTCTAGGTCCCAGTAGGCCCTGGTGTATGCACATGATCCCAGTGCATCCCAGAGTACACAGCAGTCCCAGATACTGAGGGTCCCAGTAAATCGCAGTAGATCCCAGCAGTTTCCAATAGATCCCAGCAGGTCCCAGTGGGTCCCTGAGCATGCAGGG